TATAAATAGTCACGAAATGACAGTATATAATATAGCACTCAAATTAATAATCACACCGGCCGGCACGCGACATGTGTACACAAGTCACAACACACATTCACGCGTAATCATTATTATAGAGATTAATGATTAAATATATTTATATATATTATAGATATATGTATGTGTATAGTGTTAATTAATTAACAGCAGCGTTTATCGTCTAAAATAACGAACATATTTTAATTTAACACTTTAATTGCCGTGATTATTAATTATTCTAAATAAACATTTAAGGTAGAGATATAATAACTTCGATGTAAAATTAATTTAATATGCAAGTAACAAAATATGCCAACAAGTTTCTCAACATGACAAGTTGTGAACACACGTCTTAACAAAATATTTTAAATACCGGATATAGCTCAATACTAATCTGATAACCTATATATGACTGATGTGCGTTATTGTCTTACCTTTTATTTTGGTGGACCAGAGGTTATATTAAGGCTCGTAAAAATATAAAATAGACGTTTTTTGTCGCGCTGTACACTGCAACTGCACACTACCTGTAATAATGTTATAGGAAATTTAATAATACTAAATAGGTATACGCACTTGCGGACGGCGACACGAAAACGGTTTGATCAGAAAAACGAAAATGATAGAAATACCCAACAACTTATACTAACGACGACCGTTTTAAAACTTTGAATAGAACAAACAGTTACCAGTAACCTACTCGAAAATTGTACCTACCATAAAATATTATGACGTATGTGTAGCAAACGTTACAGCACGGTTATATACAGTGCGGTTCTCTGTAGCAATACGGATGACAATTAATTATTGGTATAATATTGTGCAGGAGTTGGTTGAACAACGAATACGTTTACGGAAAGCGACGCAAATCGGTTGGTATTTTGATGAGTTTTCAGTATACGCGAGTGCCGTGTGTACACGTAAAATGTTCTGCTGTGTCCAACAACATGGTAACGTGGTTAATCGTGTGCTAACCTAATTCAACCGACCAATCACAGCAAAGGATTGGCGTGTGTAGTGGAAACCCGCCTTTAGATCAAGGCCGGTATGTCGTCGCGTTCCTTTGGTAATTGGTTATGAGTTATGACCATAGTCCATATTTTCAGACCATTAAGCCGGATTCATCAGCTACGTCGTGTGTAGTGTCGCGTGAGGGCGTGGTAACTATGGTTACAACTGGTAACCATATCGGTTTAAAAGTAGAGCCGTATTAAATTCTTGGTATCCTCGGTTTTAACTTGGTTATACCACCATACCAAAAGTTAAACATCTAATCAAAATGTGGTTTGATCGACACGACGTGACATACGGCGTATAGCTGTGAATCCGGCTTTATTTAACGCAGTATTAGTGGTGGGGCTGTGGCTCCAGTGTCCTCTCCAGCAACGATCGTAGAAAAGTTTAGGCGCACAACTTACAGTCAATACAGTCTCTCGGCCCTTCTAAGTTCTATATGTTCTTTGTTGAAATATACCGTTATTTATAAATAGACTACAACCGTTGTATAAGATTTATTGAACTTATAATATATTCATAGTACTTAATATTTAACAGACATACGTCCGTGGCACGTAAATTAAATTAATTACATACAGTGTTTTAAAATAATAATAAGAGTATTTAAAATTATACAATAATATTATACCTACCTGCCGTTCAATAAGAAATTTTGGAGCAAATTAAATTTACCTGGCACCTTGCATTTTTAAAAAATTACTCCTACCGGTTCCGGCTGCAAAACAGTTTTTAGCGATGAAGGTTGAGTGAGTGTATATTAAGGGGGATTAGTAACATATTACGGCCTACGGGTGTAATAACCATGTCAGTTAAAAACTTATGCCGGGTTGCGTGAAAAATAAATTAATTTATTGGACCAGTCATGGACCATTAAATCATGTTTAAGGGACCAATAGTTCCCTATTTATTCATTAAATATTTTGTAGTCATTCATGCAAGTATTATATAAGTATTATATTACCTATGTAATATTCGCTCTCTACACCTGCCGAAATAGGTCCCAAACTTTGTCCTCATCATATTTAAGCATTTATACGTTTATTTTTTTTTTTTATAGTGTATATTTTTAATGCCATAGTCATCCCTTTATCAGATAATCGTACCATTTGATTGTCCAGATTTCCGTCCATAGTAAAATACCATTTAAATCAGAATTTAAATTCATTAAATCTGTTACTTCGTATTATATGTCTGTTATTCATAATATATAAAACAAAATATGTATATACTTGCCTACATTACTTTGCATACGCTTGAATATGTTTAATACATTATATGTTTTACTATATATTTTTTTATATGTTTTATTAGTAGACTTAAGACTATAGACTATACCTATACCAAAATGATGAGCAAACAATGAAAATCAAAAAATATTTAATGAAAACGTTCAGTTATTGTTACTTGCATATTTTAATGCCCCTTCACCGCCCCTTTCAAAGGGAAAAGTGACTGATTAGATGTACAAAGATTTTTATCGATATTTGTTTTCGTTTTGTACACCAACAGATGGTTACCTATTTAATATTATTTATGTTTTCGATAAGCCGGCACGCCGCGCCGGCTGCCGACAAAATGTGTTTGAACCCAACCGGCAATAGGTAATAAATAATAACCAATAAAAGGCCATAGGTTAGGTAGACACAGCTCGTACAAAAATATTGTACTCGCCAATAACTTACGGTGTTAACGATAAAGAGGTAATACCTCGAACTGTTTCGAGGTCAATGTCCATTGGACATTTGGACCTCTTTAAACTATGATAGGTATTTATTAGTTTACTGACAAGCGCCCACCTGCAGGCTGCAAGTCATCTGCCAAGCTGTGTGCAGATCAGACTTGTCGGCTATTATCCACAGAACCACGAATTAAGTCCAAACACTAACGACCTATTAAAGTAATAACCAAATCATCATAATCGGATCGCGGGGCAGGGAGTTTATAATAATATTTTTTTTAGTATCGTAATATTGTTTTATCAGTTAAAATTCTATAGGTCGTTCGGCTGTAAGTTATGGTCGGTCGCGCGCGCTTTTCAGTCTCACTCTTCCCCACTATCGGCCTAAACCACACGTCATTGTCCTTAAATATTATTATTGCTAATTGCCATTTGCCAGACGGCTCTACGGCAGTCACAAACTTACAACTATCGCCGACTCGCCGTCCGCCAGAGTTCTCGTTTGCTGTTCACACGTGCGTTCTGCGGTGTTTTTTTCTCTCGTATTTCGGATTTCAATTTTTCGCGTGGTGCGTGCCGTGCGTCTCGTGTTTCGGCCCAGACAAAACGTTTCCTGATTCTGCACACTTATACGTCCTGCTACGGCTAACTGCCTGGACATTTCAACAGTACATTCATTTCAGAAATTGAGTGACCACAATAAATAACTTATTGTTTTGAATGAGAGACCCATAGGTATTCCCCGCGCATCCGGTTCAAAGTTTTTTCACCGTGTTTCCGCCGTTTCTGAGCACATCGGGCAATGTCGTATGCCGAACCGTATTCGTTCGTTTGGTTGTGCATTACCGTTTGTTAATCGGCGATTACAGAGGCCGCTCGACCGGAAAGTATTCGATACACGTGTGATCCAGAACCGAAGATGAGGTACAGTCTGAGCGACATGTTCGTCAAAACCATGCCAAATTTGAAACTCAGTGACAAAAAGTGAGTAGACACTAGTTTCGGGAATTCGTACAACGTGTTGCTATAGTATAAGTTGTACCTATACGTCTTGTATCGAGATCAGTTGCAATCGTAGCTGCATATTGCATATTATAATATATTAATATTATCTGTAATCTATGGCCAAGCCTGGTGGACCACGGTTGCGACATACGATAGAAAAATAATTGTTATTTTATAGTTTTTACGTCAATCGACACGGCTGTTGGAAAGTTATCGCTCGTAATTTGTATATAACATTATTGTAAAAGCCTTTTGAAAGGGCGGGTGAGCGGGATGATAATTTTAAAATTTGTATTATTTACGACTGAGTGTAGGCGGTCTTTTTACCGACTATCGAGACTGCCTAGCCGCCTTTTAAATTTCCAATTGTGTGCTTGAGTGTTACCTACATTTTATGACAAAAAAATAGATAAACTAGGTATACTTTAAATGATAATTTATCGTGTACAAATAGTGTGACGTAACGATTTCTAATTCTAATTACCAGTGTTAGTAAGGATAATAGATTTAATTAGTTCAATTTAACAGTCAAATCGTTTGTAATATTAATGTATTATGTAATATGTGGATATCATTGAACATTTATTTAAATTATATTATAACTATTTTTATTTTTATAATCCTATTGTAATAATATATTGAAACGTTTTGTTCTTTTCTTTATTGTCAAGTACCAATTTTTAGTGTTTTCATTGATGTGAATAACTTATTATTATGTTGTCCTGAATATCTCATTTAAAAATTAAAAATCACGAAACATATTCAGTACTATATAGGTAGGTATGTTTTTTGATTAATGTTATGGAGTATGAATTATAATTTATAATATCTATATAGACTTCAGTGTAGATATTTACCATATTATTATTGAGCATTGAGTAATACTCTATATGGATATTATTATTATTTATTGCCATGATATCTACATAATGATGATGGTGATAATAATAATGACAAATATAATAGTTGATTGATAAATAATAATAATGTTTATTGATTCTGCTTACCTGATGTCCTTATTATTATTTATTATTTACATATAAAATAATAATTTTATGAACAGTTATTATAAAAATCTATAGTTCTTAAATGATAAGTAGAATTTTTTTAAATTTAGTTTATGTTGATCAACTAACACATTTATTATTATAATATATTTAATTATTATACTTATATACTAATAGTAAGATACATTAGACATTAATAATTATTTGATTGAAAAATGTTTTATTTTTTACCAAATAATTTTAATTTCAATATAATTTTATATTGTTAACAGTATGTTGTGCATTCAAGAAGAACTCGGAAACTTAAAAGATAAGGAACCAGTCAAAGATAATGCTGTCGGGATCAATAAAATTGAATCTGATGTCTTAAAACCCAGTGGCTGGTTTGATGGATTGTTGGGATGCTTAAAACCAATGTTGGGAATCATGGGAAAAGGAAACGGCCATGATCTTAAATCTTATCAAGGTAATTACAAAATTATTTAATTATAGTTGAATGGCTAGCTTAAGAGTTCATTATTTGAGTATTTTAATAATTATAATATTTACAAACAATTTTTAGTTTTATAATGCTCATAAGTCAGTTCATACAACTTTTACCCTTAGACACGGTCAATGCCCAAATGTTTCAATTAATAACATACCTATCCCATCACTCAATGCTGTTAAATATTTAGGATTAATCCTTGACCAAAAATTAACTTGGAACAAGCATATAAGAGCTAAGAGATTAATCCTTAACGCTCGATCTAGATCGCTAAAAACAATTTTATCAAAAAATAAATTTACTTACTTAAAAACAAAACTACTTGTATATAAAACTCTCCTTAAGCCAATATGGACATACGGGTTACAACTCTGGGGATCTGCCAAAAAATCAAATCTAAATAAAATTCAAGTCTTTCAGAATATTACCCTCAGAAAAATCACTAACGCTCCCTTCTACGTCTCTAATGTAACTCTCCACCAAGATCTAGGTATTCTACCTGTTGTAACTGAAGTGAAACTATTTTACAAACGTTTGTTTGACAAACTTGAAAATCACCCTAACCCACTAATAAAAGAGCTACATACCTTTTCACTCCCTGGAAATCCTCAACGTAGACTCAAAAGGAAATGGTGTCGTGACCATTTAAATTAAATATCCCACAATCACCCTAAATATTTCGTCAAGTAAGTAAGTGCCWCTAATGGGTGGCTTCTTCATCAAGCAATCCATGTTTTTTTTTTTAACTCTTATCGTATACGCTGATTGTGCAAATTGTATAGATTGTGTATGTGCATTTGTAAAATAAAAAAAATAAAAAAAAATAATGCTCATAACTTCAATAATAAAATACCAAAAAAATAAAACATATGCAGGGCCCTGGATAATATTTTGACTTACATTTGGGAATAGGTTAAATGACTTTATAATTAAAAATAACAGAATAAAATGAATATAATATGTACTATGTTGTAACTGTACTTTTGTTAGACTGAAACATTACAGATGTGACATTCTCTTAAGTATGTAACTCTTAAAAATTAATTTGTTATATATTTGATTGATTTTTTTAGTTTTAATTCTCTATTATTTCACTCAGTTACCTACTATTTTTATGATATTTTAATTTTATAATAATCTTAAAATTAGAAAAATCAAAAAAATCTTATCTTTATGGTATTTTGTAGATAACTGGGATATTCCATTTGAATCGATTAGTGATTTGCAATGGTTAGGTTCAGGAGCCCAAGGTGCTGTATTTAGTGGAAAATTAAAAAATGAAATTGTAGCGGTGAAGAAAGTGCGCGAACAAAAAGAAACTGACATCAGACATTTGAGAAAACTGAATCATCCCAACATAGTGCAATTCAGGTGAGAATATTAATAATTAATTAAGTACTAGTAGTATATTATAACATTTTATTTGTATTAGATAAGTATTAATAAGTTTCTTTTTMTTTTTAGGGGGGTATGTACTCAAGCTCCATGTTATTGCATAGTGATGGAATATTGTCCATATGGACCGCTTTATAATTTACTTAGAGATGGTGAAGAAATACCACCCATACGATTAGTATCCTGGGCTAAGCAAATTGCATCTGGCATGCATTATTTACATGTGAACAAAATAATTCATAGAGATCTAAAAAGCCCCAAGTATGTAGATTGTAAAAATTGACAAACTGTATTTTTATTTTGCTTGAAATTATATTTTACAATTTTTTTCTAAAGTGTCTTGATTGGTCGTCAAGAAATGGTAAAAATCAGTGATTTTGGAACAAGCCGAGAGTGGAATGAGATAAGTACTAAAATGAGTTTTGCTGGAACTGTTGCCTGGATGGCTCCTGAAATCATTAGAAATGAACCCTGTTCAGAAAAAGTGGATATTTGGTAAATAATTTGTAAATACCTTTTGATAAATATTTTTTATAAATTATTCAATTTTTGTTGTATGTATTATGTTTTAGGTCATTTGGCGTGGTTTTGTGGGAACTTATGACTTGCGAAACACCATACAAAGATGTAGACTCATCAGCTATTATATGGGGTGTAGGAAGTAATTCTTTGCACTTACCAATACCTTCATCATGTCCAGATGGTTTTAGATTGTTAATTAAACAATGTTGGGCAGCTAAACCACGTAATAGACCATCTTTTAAACACATAATGATGCATCTAGACATTGCCAGTTCTCAAGTGCTAGCGAGCACACCAGATGAATACTTTAAAACACAGGTATAAATATAAATTAACAATACCGATGAAAATATTATTTAAATCAGGGGTCTCCAACCTTTTTTTACGGCGGGCCAAGTTTGATATACGCTTTGGCATCGCGGGCCAACATTTTTAGAAATGTGTTGTCTAAAAAAAAAAAATTGTTGTCTATCTAGGAATCTAGGATAGGTTGTGAGATTGAGAAATAAATAAGAATAGATGAGATTTATTTAAAAAGATGTATGTTTATTTAAAATATATAATCTTTTTATTTTATAATTCAAAATTTGTTTTATTATGATACGAGTAAGTTACTTAGTGAGACGTTTGGAACTGCTTGTTTTTTAAAATGTCTTGATAGTTTGCATCAGACTTCGTGGTTCCAATTAGCAGCGTAGCTTGTAAGTGTTCGTCATTTAAGTTAGTTCTGTACTTAGATTTGACGTATTTCATTTTTGAAAACGTCTGCTCACATAAGTATGTTGAGTCAATATTTATATTGACATCATTTCACGCGCATGTTTTTTGAGATTTGGAAATGATTCCTCTGGCAACATGGCGTAAAATTGTTGGAGACTGGATTCCTTGAAATAGTCTTTAAAGATTGTTATTTGATATGAGCTCGATAACATCAAGCTATGGAGCTCTGTCGGTAAAGTTTCTATTTTTATGGCAAACGGATTTTCAAAAATTCGAATACGGTCTTCTGCACTTTCAAAATCTCTAAACCGCGTCTGGAACTGCTCATTCAAGTAGGTGAGAACTCCAACACCAAAATCGGTAGGGAATTCTTCATCATTTTCAAGTTTGAATTTGTTGCATGTTGGAAAATGGACAAGATTTTACGGTTATTATTACAACAGAAAAAGTTTATCGTATCTTATCTGACCATCATCGCGTAAGTTTCGAGTACAATATAAGTCAGATAAGTGTGATTGACGAGTTTATCTATTATTAGTTAGTATTAGTGTATATGTATAACTATTATAAGTTGTTATGAATAATATACCTAGCAAAAGAAAATATTATAAATTCATTTTATTTTATTAATCAATTCAATAAAAAATAAATTAAAAACAATGAAAAATAATATATTATTTTCAAAACATTAATTAGCTTGGCGGGCCGTAGGTTGGAGACCCCTGATTTAAATAATTAACTCTGTACTAAAAACAAATTATAGAAGATTAAATATAAAATATGATTTTTTAGGCTCAATGGAAGAAAGAAATACAAATACACATGTTACAAATGCAGACAAATGGAAGTCATATTCCCAAATTTGAAGAAGATCTTATTAAAAAAAGAAAAAATGAATTAAAACACGCACAAGACATTAGAGAACATTATGAGAGAAAATTGGAACGTGCCAATAATCTGTACATGGAACTAAGTGCTGTGTTATTACAATTAGAACAACGAGAAAATGATTTAATTAGGTTTATATTTAAATTTTTAAATAATAATTTCTAACACCTACTCTAATTAATATATATAATTATCATGTTAGAAGAGAAAAACAAATGTCTAAAGTATACAAAAAACGACTCATAAGACCTTTGTTAAAAGCTCAAGATAAATTGAACAAACAGAATAAATCTGATTCAACTACCACATCACCATCATCGCCAGAAAGACTTTGTGAAAAAATTGACCCCGTATGTATTTATTTTCAATTAATAATAATTTAATTTTTTATGAACAACTAGTAGAACTTTATTTTGTTTTATATATTTTTAATAGCAGTTAACCAAAGCTACACTTTATGCTCAAGTCAGAAGCAATTCAAATAACCCAGAATCAATTGCTGTTACACCAAAACAAAATCTACGAAAAACAAGACCGAGGAAAGCTCAAATCATATGCTCAATTGTAAAAAATAGAAAGGTTCAATCATAAAATAAATGAATTTTACCATATACTCATATAAATATTTAATTATAGTATGATACTCCAAAAGAAACAAACTGGAAAAACTGTCATCAGATAAATAGCAATAAAGTCAACAGTGAAACACAGACTGAAAATATTGATTCAGGACTTCAACAAGATATTCTCAATGGTAACATGTCAGATTCTGCTCATTCACAGGTAAATATCAAAATATTAAAATAAATTGTCTACAATTTTATTAATTATATATTTTATTTTATTTTTAAAGGGTGAAGAAAGTTCTTGTAGCAGTGGTGTGAGACTGAGTGACGATGAACATTTAGATAGACTGGGCAGACAAGTAAATGAAATAATTAACAATAACAGACCTTCTAATATGACTGATTTATCAGATTACTATCAGGATAATGAACCTATTTCTTGTAACTTCAATCTAAGGAGAAAAAGGTAAAATATTTTTATTTTTTTTGTTATTTGATTTATGTTAATGTATTGTTTTATTTATTTTTAGTGCTGGTAGGCGTCCAATTGGACCTGGTTTACGAGTACGTCGTTATAGGATGACACAATATTGTCAAGAGCCAAATGGAAATTCTTTTTCATTAAGTTCTTCAGCAGAAGTATGAGATTATTTTATACTTCCATTGTTTAACTAATTAAAGTATTGTGTTTTTTATTCTATACAGAAACACGATTTCTTAGAGGCGGAAAGTTCAACATCTGACTCTGACATGAAAGACATTGATCTAGATTCAAATTTTTATAAAGTATCTAATCAGTTTCCAGTTTAATACCGTGTATAAAACCATAAAATTGTGCTATGTCTACAATTTTTAATCTAATTATTTAATCATGATTAAACATAATATACCAGTCCAAACATTACATTTTTCATAACAATGTCAAATTTAATCTCAATGCTATCACATCTAAATCTTACAATTTTTTTAAAATTTTTTTTTTTTTAAATAACTTGCTTATCTTAATTTAACATTTTTTTTTTCATACAACTATTTTATAATTACTATTAATTATTATTTTTGTTACTTTTTTTTTCCTTTAAAAATGTAATGTATTTCTAATGAAATATTGAATTATTGATTTTTCTTAACTATCTTAACAATATTTTGAATATTCATGAAGTATCAAAAAATATCTGTGATTATATTAAACAACAAGAAAGGTCACTTATATCACTGTTTATGATATTATTTTAATGTGTCTAAATTTACCAAATTTGAAATTTTCACATTATTAATTCATATTATTGTGACATGTCCACTTGTTAGACCTAAAAGGAGGGAAAACTTATAATATTACATAGCTTGTTATACAAGCAATCAATTAAATTGACATACCCTTGTTAATATTTGTACTGATTATAAGTAGTTGCTTAAAAATGTTATGAGCAATAATTATTGATCTCTTTTGCCATTTATAATATTGTGATGTAAATTAATTTGTAAACATATATGTTGTGTATTGTAGACTGGCCTTATGTTAAGGCAAATTATTGTTTAGGAAATAATTGTATTAAATTTATTTTTAGGCTTTGTCTCTTTATTTTGTATGCTGTATAGAAAAGAGATATAGTTTATAAAAATACAAAATTTGTTTAAATAGAAGAAGCATTTGTTTTTTTTATGTGTGTGTATAAGTATATCTTTATCTGAAAAATATACTTAAAAAAAATTACTATTGATCTCTGATAGTACATAAATAATAGACATAATATTATATTATAGTGTATCCTATACTATATTATAAATATCATTATTTTCCTTTACAACTAAATATATCATTCTTGTTTCAAATTATATTTAAACAAATCATACAATATTATGTATTATTGTATTAATCAATTATTTAGATAAAATATCATATCTAACAGTTACAGTTCAGAACTTTAAGTTCTTAACCTAGCAAGATGAGATTTGAAATACGTACAAAATATGTTTAATAACATTTTTGTATTATTTTTATAACAATCTAACCTATTTTTTGTCAGGTAATTTTTAAAATTCACAAGTTTTATGAATCTATATTCTAATAAACTATCCACATTATACATGTTAAAATCTGTGTTTGTCTAATAGATTATTTGAATTGTACTAATAGTTGTTTATTATAAAGGCTTATAGTACAATTATTATAATTAACCAATGCTAGTGCCCTAAATTGTGGTACTATAGTCCATCATACTCCATAGGATATGTATTTTGGAGTCAGTACATAAACTTGGCTTACAAAAGCATCTGGAGAAAATTTGATTGGATGTCAATAGACACATCAGTCGTTTACATAGCAAGTAAATTCAGCATAAATGCATAATATAGGATTAAGTTATACAACTTTAGATATTTTAAATTTATATCAACCTATTATTTTGGTCAAAAATTATGGATTTATCGAAAAACATTAAAATTGTATATTGTGATAGGTATACTTGCCTATACCTTTGTATCAGCAATTGTAGCTTGTTGGTACTTGGCATTTGCCTTTAAAAGAAGTAGAAGTAGTAGAACCCATACAACTAATTTATAAGAATTAGATCTTTCATTCAAAAAAGTTTTGTAAGTTGTAACTTATACCTTAGTTTCTAAATTAGTTATACCATGAGTAGGTTAAGCCAAGCTATAAGCAAATAAGCAATACATTTTCCCAAATAATTGAGGAATTTTCATATGTTTGGGACGTTTAGTTATCGATTTTTCTATTATCAAATGGCGTTGGTTGAGGTTGGGTCGCACGCCCACGGTCTGTAGTTTAGTGATAACAGCCGTTTAATATCAAACCTAACCTCAAATTTTAAAGCGGCATTGAAATATCGAATCAATGAATTATTAATTTTTTTTCCATTGAACATCAAATAATTATTAATTTTTTATAATTTAACAAATATTACCAAATTAGAAATACTTTACTTAATAGCTAATATTTCTGTTTTAAATCTCTTAACTTCTAATCGAATGAAGTAATTAGGCAATTACTAATTTATCGTTTTAATTTGATAAATTTGTTTCATTGTTTGACGAATTTAACTATTTTTTGTCATATAAGACTTCATTAAATCTAATTATGTTTTCGAAGTCACTGATCAGTTTTTGCAGACAAGGATTAGGTTCTTCAAAAATCGTGCAGAACGTTCTATGTAAGTTCGTGGTGATTCGACAAAAAAATGACCTTGTTTGTCTTATGACATGCTTTTTGCATATTGCATATTATGGTGTTAATAATTTGTCTGACAAATCGTTCTAAGAGTTATTAAAAATGATTCAGACCATATTTAATAATTAAAGTGCTCTTGTTGTTTAAAAATTAGTAATTCACTAACATTTTAATAGTACTTACCAAATGGATTTTACAATTATTTTATAATTTCCATTTTAAGACAATGTGATTTCTGTTTACAAAAATGTTTATTCAAATTGTGTGTAACAAAGTATATCACAATTTCAATTAAATTATGTTCTAAAAGTATATCCTTTTTTCCTAACTTGTATTTCTTTTGTTTTATACTGATTTTCAGAGATCATTACAATATAGATAAATATAGACTATTATAGTATGTATTTTATAAATTTAACTTAAGTAAATCATTAATAAACACTTAGCAATATACTTGTAACATCCTAAATTCCTAACTATAATTACTTCTTTATTTATGTTTTTATTGAAATCTACCTGACTTGGAATCTAATAATATTGGTAGCACTTGACTAGTTAAACATAATCCTAGTTTTATTATTTTGACACTGAAAATGCCATTACTTGAATACATCACACTAATATTAGCTACTTAAAGTTCATATAGTTTAAACATAAAATAATACATTTTTAATGACTATCTACCTATTAGAATATAATTAAGTATAATTTATTTATTCACCTAAGTTTTTATTAATATGCCATGTTTTTATTTAGGTAAACGTAATTTGTATGAGCGTGCAGCCATAGGATTGGATAAATATGAGTTCTTCAGAGAAAAAATTGATAATCAATTTTCTGATTCAGATAAACATTTATTTCGAGAGCGTATGAAGTCTTTTGCAGATCCTGAGTCTAGTAGTTTAATTTTTACTGAAGACTTAAAACAAATTGTACACATGGTAGGTGATAATGAAGAAGATTTAACGCTTGTAGAAAAAATGATGAAAAAGTAAGTATTACTTCTTTGATTTATTTAAAATGTATACATTCCAATTAAAAATATAATAATTGTAGGTATAATAAGCAAAACCAAGGATTAAGATTTGGAAATTTTACTTTTGGTCCAGTTGTGATGCGAATGTATTATCATCTCAATAAACCTGATCTTGCATTGAAAGTAAAGATAAACTGTAAATATTATAATATACACAAAAATCTTAATTGCAATCTTTTTTAGTTGTTTAATGATCCGGAAATGGATGGATTCTTCAATCATTTAAGTTCTTATCAAATACTCATGGACTTATTATTTGTAAATGAAAAGTTTGATCAAATATTACTTGTATATAAAACAATTCAAGATAGACAATTACAAATTGCCAAGTTTCCTAAAGGCGTAATGATGTTAGTTTTTGCTGCATGTTATAAATTGGTAAGATTTTTATTCAATATGTGCTTACGTTTTGGTACATTGAATATGTGACCTACTTGAGGAAATTAATTTTTATATTATGTTTTCTGTGAATCATATTATTTTATATTGAGCATTATTTAAATATTAAAGATTGCCTTAGCTTATCCATTTCTAAAATTCTATTGTTTTAACAGATGTGTCTTTAAAGTTCATAACAAAAATGGTTTAATAATTAAAAAATTGCTAATGATTTCCAATAATATGTGTAATTTTATTTTAGAATACAACTGAAAGTTTTGAATATGCATGTAAATTATGGAGTGAACAACAAGAAGCTGGCCATAATCCAATCAGAAAAACAATAACTTTTTTTGCTGCTAATGCAATCAATCAAAATAGTCCTCATATCGCTCTTGAAGTTATAACATCGGTGCGAAATCAATCATATGTGACACTCCGTAATATAAAAGTGGTTGCATTATGTGATTTGGGCCGAATTGTTGATGCTTTGCCTCTTCTAAGAAGTGTATTATCATTAGATCAACCAATGTCTGGTGGCCCTGTGATAAAACAAACTTATTGTAGAGATGTCGTAAGTATATTATTATTACATTTAATAATTGATAAATTATTATTACTCTATATTTGATTAATATTAAATATTTCAACATTTTTTGAATGCATTTTGCTTCTAATAGTGAAATAAAAATATTGTTGGTGAATTACAATTAAATGTAATATTTAAATACTTCAAATACGTTCAGCTATAAATATTTTTTTATTTTTTAATTACAAAGTTGTTAGATAAAATTAGTGCTGCTAGTTAAATGATAACTAATTTTAAAAACAAAATAAAAAAATTATAATTATAAACAACTTTTTACATTAGTAATGTAATTTACTGAAATATATTAGTATATAGGAAGCAGTTGATTATCATTGGTCCATTATTCTTGCCTGACTATCAATTTTATTTGTATATTTTATTATAATAAGTTAGTTTTGACCAACGATAGTTATTTAATTATTGTCTATAATTAAATGTTTATAAATAATTGGATCTTAGTAGGTTGTAAAATATTTAAAATCAATCCATACAATGGAATTGATGAAATTTATAGAATAATTTCATTAGAGTTCAGTATTAATGCATTAAAAAACATAACATTTATACATGTAATTTTAGGCATGTTTAAAAATAAACAAAATTCAAATAAAAGTATATTTTTGTCTTTATGGTAAATTGCCAAAGTTCACCTATTACTTGTTATTTTTTTCTATCCAAAACCTATGAATTGTTTACAACTTTGCTGAGTATAGTGAATATTATATTGAATTAACAGATAATGTTGAAAATATTTCATTTATATTTGATTATAATGTTTCATTTAAAAATTATGTTTTTAATAGTATTCTAGTTATCTAAGTAGTTTTAAAATGTTTAACAAGTGCCAAATGTATAACTTATAATATGATTTAAGCCAAAAAAACTTTTACTGAGTTAACCTTTTATTACATGTAAAATAAAATGGTCAATTGAAATAAATTTGATTTATAATTAAGAGAATTTTATTAGTTCCTTATATTATATCATAATAGTTAAGAAATAATACTACTCACATTTTATGTTTTTTTTTCTTATAAAATAGTAATGGCCGAAATTGAATTAAAATTTTGTTCATTAAAAAAAAAATTCAACCTATCTTCTAAAATAGTTACTTAATTAGTTTAATGATTCGGAAAAGTGTTGTGAGGAAGAGTCTGTTAACGAATAATATGTTTTTGTTTGTCATATAATCTGATTAATATCTCTATTTATTTGAAAAAATTGAACAATTACCTATATTATTTGATACCTTCACTTTTGTAACACTATTTATTTTTTAAATAAATCCATAATTGTTTAATAGCAACACACATTAATATTATTGATATTTATTTATACTATTTTAGATAAATTTAGTGAAAGCTGCTGCTGAAAAACATAACGATAAAGAAATATCATTAGAGCTAGATAGAATATTTAACCAACTAGAAGAGTTAAATATGATTACTGAGACTGTAAGTAATACAATTTTATTTTTACTTCTTATAAGTATGTATTTAATAATCATGATAATTTTTTTTTTTCTAGACACTTGATTCTCTTCTATGTTCAGAAATTAAAATGATCGATAGATCTGATACAAACAACAGAGAATCATTAGTAGGAGCAAGCTATCAATCAGGCCGACCATATAAAAAACGAGAATTTAGACGTCCTGGTATTAGTGATTTATTGTAATTTGATTTATGTAAATCATAAACCATTTTTTGTAGATTAATAATGTACTGTTTAAGTAATATTTAAAAAAATAAAATAAAGTTTAGTTTTTTTTTTATTGAAATATGGACATGGACATTTAATTACATATAATATAAATATTCATACAAAATTTGTAAATTAAAGAATATTACAACAATTATTTGATCTAGGTTGATACAAAACACATTTAAGTAATATTTACTATAGTGAATAAATTATGTTTACAAAAATGGAATTTAACAGAAAAACAATTTTATCAACTAATAATTAAATAGGTGATTGATTTTCAGTTCCTTATTAATAACAATTATTATCCATTGATATGGCTATTGAAATATTATTTTAACAATATTATGTTGTATTAAAAAAATATAAATTAGTAAAAGTAGTTAATGAATTATTCGATAGCATCAGTTTTGGCAACTGGGTATGGCTCTAGAACGGGGATGTGTCCACTATCGACAATTTCAATACCATCAACTGGTTTGTCTCTGGAATCGGTTTCTACTGATTCTGCTTCTCTAATTGTTTTCTGTAAATAATCAAATCAATTTTAACTAAATACTTATTTAAAATATTTTAGTTATTTATATATTATTTACCATTCCTTTGATAATTTTTCCAAATACAACATGGCGACCGTCCAACCAGGCTGTTTGTTTAGTGGTAATGAAAAATTGAGATCCATTTGTGTCTTTTCCGGCATTGGCCATAGATAGCCAACCAGCACCATAATGCTTCAGCTTAAAGTTTTCATCAGCAAACTTTTCTCCAAAGATGCTACGGCCACCAGTACCGTCACCTTTTGTAAAATCACCACCTTGGATCATGAAGTCTTTGATAACTCTGTGAAATTTACTGCCCTTGTAACCTTCGCCAACTGGTTTTTTCGATAGCTCAATAAAATTCTGTGCCGTCTTGGGTACAGTTGCGCCAAACACTCCGATTTCCACTCGTTGAGGTTCATTTGCTCCAACTTTGATGTCGAACCACACCTATCAAAAGATAAACATTCGTAATTTTTGAGTGCTTTGTGAACATGAGTTCATTGACGTGTCCAATTCAACTTACGATGTCAGTGACCTTAGGTCCTTTCTTCTGTTGGTTCTCCGATGCTTGGCTGTACATCACCACGAAAATTGTGAAAATCGTTAACGGTAATATGGCCCATTTCAAGAATGTCATGATTTTATAAGTAGATATCATATAACCTTTACAAATATAATAAGTATTACAACTAGATTAAGTGAGGAACACAAAAACTAAATTGGTTGGACTAACCGGTAAACTAATACTAAAGTAGGTATTATACTTCTACAGAACAATAATGGTAGAAGGTGGTGGGAGGAGAAGTGGTTACTGGGAAGACGTGAAGATGTGGACAAAAACTACACTATGTACCAAAGATAAAAATGTAAAATTCGTTATCAATTTTCTAGTACTATCGATAAAATAATCGATAGTTTTTTATTTTCGAAAAAAATATATTTAAATGGTTGAATACATTTAAATTTTGATGTATAGAAATAAAATAAAAACAATCGTTGGTCATTAATTTATATATTTAATTTTAGGCATAATTTTTCGACTCTTCATCTTATGTTCGTACTTCGTTGTAACTCTGAACATCGCAGTTAGGCCAACGATTTTAACATAAAATCGATGATTTTCTTAGTTTATTTATTTTTTCAACTAAGTAATAAAAAATAACAGATTTGAGCCTTGATGGCTTGATTTGAGTGTTTAACGTATGAAAAGAACCAGAAGGTCATTTTAATAATTCAATATAACATTATATTTATTTTTTATTTCTAAGCTGTAATTGAGGATAATTTTATGAAAATCAGTGGTCACGTCTGGCCATATATTTTCAAATAACATAAGTATATTATATCGTATTTTTAATAATTGTACGTAATGGTTTAACAGAAATAAGGAACATTACATTTTATCTACCCAGTCAAATTTACTACACAAAACTGAAGTATTAATAATAACTATTTATCATTTTAATTATTAAACAATAATCTTGAAAAATATTTAAATATTGTTGCATCAGGTGTTTTTATTTACGACTCACAATAGTTCACGAGAACGAGACCACCAAATGTCAAATTTTATTAATTTTAATGACAGTTGGTACAAAAAAAAACAACACGGATAGCAGGCCAGTTTGTTCGCTGACTCACCTCACTCGTTGAAATTAATTATTATTATTATATTTATAACACCAATTGACCAATTTACATAAATATTATAATATATTATAAATATACCTTTCATTCATATCGGATTTTTTTTTGTTTCAACCATATTTTATTGTTATTTGAAATATATCGTTTTAATTTATTTAAATTATAAAATATTAGTGGTCAGTGGTTAATACCAATAATACCAGGACAAAACAACAAAAAACAATATTTTAATAGTATTAAATTAATACTATAATATTTCCAATACGCCAATAGTACACGGAATACGCCATACAGTACTCGAAACTTGTTAAGATGGTCTCACCATAGAGGCACAGAATAAGTGAAACAATTTTGGCGTGTCGTGAATGAAAAATGCAATATATTATAACTAAATAGATCCTGCCCTTTACTTGAAAACTTAAAGTTGAAAGGCAGTTGAAAATTGAGTGATATAATTATTTGAATTGAATTTTTTTCATTTCAATTTAAAAAAAATTTCTTTTAAAAATTTTTGTGAAAAGATGGTATTATAATTCCAATACTTCTTCTTATAGGTCTTTTCAGCGATCGTACTTATGAAAAATCGTATTTTTCCACCAAGATCGTACCATTTGGTATTTTGGTAGCACTGCAGTAAACAACGACAATCTAGAAATTAACTGAGCTAAACCGTTTTAAAATTATACCATACCACTTACCGGGTAAATGAACCATATTGTTCCAAAGTTCAAACATCCAAGTGCGTTTTTTTTCACACCCATGAGAAATTAGATACATTTAATGAAATGTTCAGATTTTCGCATTATTTTCAATCGAGCTGTCTACGATTCCGAATGCCGAGGGTAAGTTTTTATTTTTTATTTCAAATCGAATTTTTTGTTCAATATTTAATATTTATTAATTTTTTGTTTCGTTTGTAGATGGTTAATAGAAGATTCCGTCAATTTGTTAATGCCGATGCTGTCGCCATCAGTCTATCTACAGACTACAGTCCATCTCACGATTGCTTCCAAGTAATCATCCATTACCGGTAGGTGGTTATTATAAGCAAATATCTAGGTATTAACAGTTAGGTCGGTATAAAAGGTAGTTCAGTCGAAACTGCCTTTCACTAATATTTTTTTTTTAAGCTTTTACTCCTATACCCAAACCATACCGGGAAATGCCGGGCGTCGTCTAAAAAGGAACTGGTGCCGCGATTTGTTATAAAAAAAGAAAAGTAAAAAAAACCAAGTTCTAGACTCTAGACAGTGTTAATTCCCAGCCAAGTGTCATCAATGGGTGAATTGGTAATTCAAAATATTCATACCACTTCTATAATATCATATTATATACTTATTGTGCTATGTTGTACTAAAGTGAATATATAGTTGGTATATTTTGAGGGGTCAAAAGTAAAAACTTCTCAATATTTTTCTAAATAATCGGAATAAACAAATTAAAAATTAAGGGAAAAACTGGAAATAATACGCACAATCAGTTTTCGATAAAATCGATTTTGGTTTTTGATATAACTTAAAAACAAATGACCATAGATACTTGAAATTTTCACCGAATATTAATATAAAGTATATTCAATTTTCAAAACATTTCGACTTAAGTTGAACTATTTATAGGCATATGCAATTTTCGATCATTATTAGTTTGTTTTTAATTAATATCGATAAAAATTTATTTGTCGGGTAGAAAAGCTTGAACATTTAATACAAGGATTCTATCATATTGTTACAATAGCAGTTGAAAAATAAAATAAATTCATAGTCATAATTTTTTTTATAAGCATTCAAAGTTTGAATTTTAACAAAATACGTAAAAAGCACAAAAATTCAAAAATAATTTTAAACTAGAAAATCATAAAAAAAATTTTTTTAATTCTAAGATTTGAAAATTTAATACAAGATTCCTTATAAGTTTGTCAATATTTATCACAAGAAAAATGTCCACCAGAAATTCAAATTAAATTATTTTGAGCATTTGGAATTTAAATTTTTACAACATTGGATTTGCACTGGATTTCTTATTTTGGTGTAACTCTAAAACAAATGACCGCAGATACTTGAAATTTTCACTGAATGTTTTTTGAGCTGTTTACTGACATTTTAATTTTTTAGTTTTTTTTCCTATAAATATCGATAAAAATTTATTTGTTGGGTAGAACAGCTTGAAAATTTAATACAAGGCTTCTAATACATTGAAACAATATATTGTTAAAATACATTGACACGATTTTTTTTTATAAGCATTTAAAGTTCAAATTTGACTAAATACGTAAAAATTACGGCTATATTCAAATTATCTTTTATAGAAATTCATAAAATTTTTTCTTTTTAGATCTAAGATTTAAAAATTAAATACAAGACTCCTAACATATTTTTACAATAGCAGTTGAAAAATAAAAGAAATGCATACCTAATCACAATTTTTTTTTACAAGCATTCAAAGTTTGAATTTTGACAACACACGTAAAAATCACGAAAATTTGCAAATTATTTTAAGCTAGAACTTCATAAAAAATTCTCTTTTTAAATCTAAGATTTGAAAATTTTTAATAATCTATAATATATATTCTAGACAGATAATCTGTCTTCGCTCAGAATCGTTTTTCGTATACAATGATATATTATCATTGGATTCAAATTTAATTCCATCCATTATAGTAACCCACTTGCAACCTACTGTATAGCAGAGCGACATCCACGACTTACTCGCTTTTTTATATTTGACGAATATTTGTATGATATGACGTACTCGTAGTAAAAAATAAAATGTGTTTTTATACTATACGTAGATCACTCGTCCTGAATTCGCAGATCACCCACCCCTCGGTAGATCACCTGTCACACGAATGCCGATGGTAGCCAACTTTTCCAAAAAAAAACTATGCATTTAACTTCAATCAGTTCAAGAAAATATAAGAGTGATGAGTTGTGTTATGACGAAATTGTATGTAATGGAGACCTTGCCAAAGGTGGGTGAACTTTTTAGTTTTTAATTAATTATATAATATAATGAATAAGGAAAATGAATAAGGAAAATATATTTTCGTCTTGTAAGAGAGGAAATAAATTGTAAGTATTTCAATGACAATCTATCATTCCGTGCTAAATCACGGTAGATTGAAGTTGTATCTACCTATAGAATAAAATATTTTTTTTTATAGTAGTTATTTATTTAACGTGTAAAAGTGACAATAACAATAAAAATATATACATAATATATATTGGAGATCATACATTAGTGACTCTATTAACCAAGTAAGTCTTATCATAAACCTATATATCTATACTTATATTATAATGTTGAAGATTTCGTATGTTTAGATGTGCTTGTCTTAGAGATTTAAATAAAAAGTGACATATTAAATATATATGTATACTAAGTACTTTGATGATGTTCTTAGCATTGTTTGTGATGAGTCTGTGTCTGTGTACTATCTATCTGCTTTTTGAGCAGAAATATGTCAGAAATTCAGTATACTACCTAAACCAGTTTAAAATTATCCCTCATTTGGAAAATGAATCATGTAAATGATATGGTCCAAACATCCTGGTGCGTTTTTTCTCACTGGTTAAGGTTGGTGAACTTCTAATTTCTAGTATATTATCTACACTGACTAATGCATATTATAAATTTGACCTAATTATTGCGTTATTCCTATACCATTCGCTTAGGTTTATAATCACGACATTTTAATTTGTGTATGCTCTCACATCCCTTAATTCGTTTAAGGGAACAATATTAAATAAAATTTTTTATAAATTTCTATCCACAGACTTATTTTGTCAAAATTGTTATTTGAAACGCATATAAAAAAAAGTTACTGTATTTTTTGTATGTTAATTTTCTATAAATACTTATTTTATTAAAATCTTAAAAAATCAATTATGTGGAATATTGTATTCAATTTCTATGCTTTTTATTAGAATCTAGTGTTAAAAAAAAATTAACAAAACAAAGTTGACAACTACATTGAGTATAGAAAATTATAATTTAAATAACAGTTGAATGTTTCATGTTTATATACGATAAATATTTTTGAATAATAACTAAATACTAACAATTGATTGAGTATACATTGTTATTATACGTTTGAATATCAAATGTCATTAATATTTAAACTTAATCGCTCATAAAAATGTATTGTGACTACACACCAAGCTTTTTTTTAAATTTCTATTAAATAAACTTACTAGATATTTTCATCAAGTTTATAAAAGTTTTATAAACCTTAGATGATACATTTTTACTTTTCTTTTAAAGTACCAAATAGATCCAATCTTCTACCTGTAGAATCACCTTAAAAGTTGAATATCATAGTACATTTTTTAGGCACTAAAAACGTATACACATAAAACTAACGACGTTCAAAATGCATAACGTAAAAAATTTACAAAATAATAACTATAAAAACAACAAAAAAATATAATCTTTATTACAATTTTGTATTAATTGACTACAATTTACGTAAAAAAAAATATTTTSACAAGCATATCCAATGTATCTTCGAGAAAATGAGTGTTTGCCATTATAAGAATCACCTTGAAATATACCTGCATTGAATTTTTTTTTTTACAATATTTACTCATTACACAATACCATACATTTAACAAATAAAGAATATCCAAGGACCCAAGGTTGTAATATAAATGATTGTGTATTTTTCTTGTGAACTCTATTAAAGTCCATTGACCTGAATTTAACTGTACTATATAGTATACTTAATACCTCTTTATTCTAATATAAAATAAATATGTATTCATTTACAAGTGACTTAATTTCAGTAAAATTTAAACCCATAAAATCAATTTTCTAACGAGTACCTATAATTAATTAATAACAGTTATAATTAATAAGCATTTAAAGTTTTGGTGAGGGAAATAGTATTGGAACAGATTGTTGCGAGATTTACTTGTAACACAACACAACACTGGCTCATCTAAACTTTTAATACGTGGATTCTAATATACTTCTAAGTTATAACTTATAACTAAATAACTATTATAGTTGAAAATTCAATTTGTATAGGTACATTGAAATTCTCAAAAAATTATGGGAATACAAAACTAAACATGTACCAATACTTATTTTCATTCAAAAGATTAAAAAAACTAAAAAGTAATATTATAAAAAGCATGTTCTTAAAAAAATTGATTCCAAATTCCACAAAAAAAAAATAATATAGATTTCTGAAAAAGGAGTTTTACCTTTTAAAGAATTACCAATAGCAGTTCTAGGTAGTGAGTAGGTATACTTATTAAAACAAATATATATATATATATACATATATATGTATATATACTTGTTACATTAATATTGAGTTTATGTTTAATACATTGTGCGATTGAATATAATATTTTACTAATACACATAGTAGGTTTGACAAGGTTGTTGCATAAAAGAGTGTGTAGTATTTGCGACTTCTATTAAAGTTCATTGACCTGAATGTCCTGAATACTATACATATTATATTTAATACTATATTTAATAATCTACTTCATTCTAATAGAAATAGAATATAAATTAATAAAACCATGTAGGTAATGACTAATGTTACACGATTTATACAGGTAACATTTTCTACGTAAAAAAAACAACGTTTATGTAATATTGTATTTTTTTTTTTTTATCATTGGAAAACAATATTTTTTACTTTTAACAATAATAATGCACTCCTTGAGAGTATAGAGTAATATTTAATAATAATTTTTCAATTATAATTGTTGTAGTATCAAATTATTTTCTTTCCAATTTTTATAATTTTAACTAGATACCTTTCTAGCCGGTAAATTTAAAGTAATATTTGCCTTAAAGAACCCTTTATGGCTATGCTTACTCACTTTTATCACTATATTTTCTCCTACAATAATAGGGATTAGCATTTTCGATTTTGAACAGAGAATTTCATCGAATGAATGTATTAGTTTTGCAATTGGGTGTGCTTTTTATTTATTTATTTTTTCATGTGTCTATGTACACGATAAGTAGTCGAAATAATACTTGAATTTTCAACTTCAGTATCTTTTCCAGTAAGTTACTGGACCTACTGTACAGTAGGAAACTAGAAACGTGAAATTTTCACTAAATAAACATTCAAATATTAGCATTTTCTATACACCAATTTGAGTATAAGATTTGAAAATTTAATGCAAGATTTTTCATAACTTTGTCCGCCTTTATCAGAAAAAAAAGTACCTATCTAGATTGTCAAATTAAATTTTTATGAGCGTTTTCAGTTCAAATGTTTATACAACATTGGATATTCACTAAATTTCTCATGTGCCGATTTTTATATTTTATTGTAATTGAAAAAAAAACGACTATTATAGATACTTGCAATTTATACTAAATTTTTATTTTATCACTTCCTATATACTTGATAAGATTTTCAAAATATTTTTGGCTTGTTTTAAGATGTTTACTGGTAATTTTCAATTTTCATTTTTTTAAATTTTTTTTTCTTTAAATATCAATAAAATTGTATTAATTGGGTCAAACATTTTGTAAATTTAATAAAAGAATAATAGTAAAATATAAAAATCCATTTACATAATATCGCTGTCATCATAATTACGTGCACAAATTGGAAAATAATTTTGAAATTAAGCAGAAAAAAATATTCAGCCATTGCCAAAATCACGAATTAAGATAATTGTATTTTTGGTGGTTTTAAGGAGGTGGAACCAAGGTTTAAAAGTGATGGAAGCCGAAAAAGATAAACTTTCTAGTTTATACATTACCTACTGTATTAAAGAATAGAACCATTTTAAAGTATTATTAATAAGGAACATGTTCGTTCAAAACCGGATAGTGAATATGATTATTCAAAACTACAATAAATTTAATTTTGACTGAGTAAATTTAAAAAAAAAAATCAAAAGTGATTATGTGGGAAATACGGAAACAATTACTGTATAAATGATAAATAAACAAAATGCAATTTGTAAAAAATATATGTGTTTTTAGGTTTTTAGTGAAGGAACAAATACAGTGATCATTAGCAGGATTTAGGACACGTTGTACAAAAACGAACGCCTAATACCAAAAGAAGAATACTTATTGGGAAAACATTTTTCGTAATTCTTGCCAAATAAGTAAGTCTTATACTTGTATACTAATTAGTTGGTAGGTATATTTAATTACTGTTTAATTATGTTTCGACTATTAAAGTCACCGAGAAATAAATGGTTAGTTTTGGTATTTTGATAAAAATTCACTTTACTACGATCCTCAAAAAATTTCAAAACTTTTTTTTTAAAACGAGTGTTTCGACGCTGTTTTTGAAACTATGAATTAGTTTCTGAAAATCAGTATTAAAATGTTAAAATGTTATAATTAAAATATTTATGGTGTTTACTTCCTTCGTAAAATTATTGTTTGGGGTTTAATCCCCGATATTATGATTTTAGAGGCATTTTTTTTCGAGATTCGCACAATATGATTTTTTATAGAAAACCTAAAGATATTTTTGATTTGTGGAGCATAGCAGTCGAGTGACAAAATACAGTCTACTTTTTTTCGGAAACTGTATAGGTTCAATAAATAATAATTTTTAAAAAAAAATTGAAAGTTCAATATTTTTGAAGTTTTTTTTCATAACTCCTTTGATAACGGTATATACTGGTTTCCTTAAAAATTTCAGAATCAATATTGAAAAAAAAAACAATTTTTTTAATTTGTGAGAAAAGTGTTATAGTGCATTTCTTCCAATGTTTCTTAATTGTTATATTTTTGTATGTTTACATTAACAACTTCCTAAGATTCCAAAAGCTTGTCAAATAATTATTGTCATGACCTGAAAGGTAGTGCCTATTGGCTATATATTAGTATAATCATTCGATAACGTTTATTTAATGATTAGAATTTTTATATTTGCTTATAAAGGTAACGATGAGTTACAGTAGTATAAATTCTGAGTTTCCGTGTATACATTTATCAGTAACTTGAACGATGTTTTAAGATCCATATTAATTACATACGCATTTATCTAATTTATTTGATAGCGTGTATTATAATTGATATTTAGAAGTATATATATATTAGAAGTAGGTATAATGTTTATATTTTTCTTTTATTCTTTTATTACAATTCCACTTTCACTGGTAGATGAAATCGTTTTATTTTAAAAACCGGTAATGTATTTGACGTATGCCAATAATTTGAAAAAATATAATTAATTATCTATTGTCCTATTAATTACCTAGTGATAAAATTTTTTTATCAATCATCACACAAAAAAGTGTCAAATACAAGTATGTAAGATATAACTTAGAAAATATTCGAATTCAGTGATCAAAAGTTGGTATACGCGTGTCGTATGCTATCTACCGGCGTATGCTATCTACGCGAAAAAATGTATTCTCACCTTACCTTAATATTTAGAGCTTGTAATTTCCAGTTGTCATTGAAGTTATAATCGACTTATAAAAATGTATCTTATATGTCTCTTTATAGATTCGTCTATTTGTACCATTAATCCTTTTCCACCTGTTAGGTAGGTACTTATAATATCACTGTAATAAATTGTACTATCTCGACTTTCGCGACCCGCGATAACATTTATTCGCCTGTCGATCGTAACTTCAATAATGTTTTTTCCGATCAGTTGTCAATTGCCATTCGTAGTCTTTCGAACGTTCTACTACCGTCTACCGAAGATCATTATTGTGTATAATATAATAAAACACTAACCAACTTAAAATAAAAGTATACAGTCCACTTTAAATATCGAACACCACCCATTTTTCCACGTTTTTAAACGTACCTAACTTCTAAATATAATTGCGCAGTGATGGAAAACTGTTAGGGAGAAAAATCATATAACCTTATAAAAAATGCGTACATCAATGGTCATGTAAAGCGGACTTAACTACCATACTAAATTATTTTAAACCTACTGTAAAATTTGACTCAAAATGTACACTCCATAGTCCATATAGGTACTACTGGAAAAGTATAAAAATTACGTCAACAAGTTAGTCAATTATTATAAATAATTATTATATAGTCTCAAATCATATAAAACTCATCACTTAAAACGCTTATATTTACTTTTTTTTTAAATTTTATTTTATTATGAGATACTTCATCAGAGATCTAAATCATTACATTCTATTTTAGTGGCACATTTAATGCGAATGTCATGTGATTGGTTCCTTTATCTCGTTGAAAATATTTAAATAAATTTTAAAAAATATATACCCCATAAAGAACTAGATCATGATAAGAATAATATGAATTAAATGAAGATTAATAATGATCAGTGGAAGAAACCACATAATTTTTGTAATTTTATAATTATAGATTTATAGATAATTTTTATCGTTGGACACTAATTTATTTTTATCGTCCTCGGGGATTTGTATTAATTTTGTAACTTGTTAATGCAGTTAGTTTAAATATTATGAAGAGGTAGGTTTTTAAAGGAGATGAAGTGGAATCTTTTATAAAAAAACACTAATGCTTCGTGTTTAAGATAGTGTTATAATTTTTAAATTTGAATAAAACTAGTTTGAAGTGTTATAGATATAAATTATAGATATAAATGACAATGATGGTGATTGGTGCGGTTCATTGGTTATTTTACAAATAATAGTGTTTTGAAAAGTTTTGATTTTATAACATTTGATTTCTTATTATCACCCCAGATTTGTTGGTTGAAAAATTTGAAAGTTTATTTGGGATTTTGTGTTTATAATTTAGTCTGATTTTTTATTTGAAATTAATATTTTAATCATACGGTGACGACGCGTGACGATCTCAATAAAAATTGTATGTATTTTACTTTTCAAAAATTTATCGTAGTTATAATATAATATTATAGAACAAATATTTAAGATTCTTAAATAATTTTTATATTTTAGTTTTTAAGCCATTTTAAGCAATTATCTTAAAATAATATTTTGATCTTAAATAGATAAATTTATACAAAACAATGATTACTTAGTGATCATTATGTTGTGATAACAAAATATGATAAAATAAATAGTACTAATATTTGAATAATGAACTTAATAATAATTATTATTACAACTAAGGCAATATAATCCATTTATATTAATTCATTTTTAATCATAATTATGATATACCGAAATCGAATAATCTATATAATCGATTAAAATTGCAGTTATAAATATTTAGAGATCAAATTTCACACAATATTACCATAGAACCCAAAATATTGTATTTTTATCGTTTTTCTCTAAATTAATAGTCTAATTATAAATACGTTGTCAACCAATCTCATTGATTATTAAATACATATCAATAGTTCTTAAAAGTATTCTTTAATACCGAAATATTTAGAGTTACAAATTAATATTTAATATTTAATATTTTTAATTTTTATCTGATAATATTAACGTATTTCATTTTATTACTTAAATAAATTTAAATATTATGTTTTTATACTGATTACAACTTTATTTATTTACTTAGTATTTTAGTAATTATTAATCTAAATAGGTACTTATATAGGTAGCAATAAAAATTAATTTTCAACTAATATAATAGCTAGTTAGCATAATGAAAAACTACGAATTATTTACAGTTTAATTAATTTACTATTTACGCATAAATATATTAGATCGTTTTCTAACCAAAAAACAACTACTTATACATATTATTATATTAATCTAATAATTTTTTAGAATAAAAAATTGCATTAAAATTTATCAGTGCAATAAAAACAACAGTAATACGTATATTATGTAGATGTTAATAGTATTATAATTTATAATATGCTCAATAATTATTTCATATTTTCACATAGTTTTAATATTGCTACATTAGTTCAATATAGGGCAGTAGAATAGATTGAAAAAAAAATAAAAGATATTATCTGTAAATATAATCATTTATACCAAATTAAASATTAGCCATTTACCTATAATTGATCATAAATTGTAATGACTATTTATTAGTTCTAAGAAATAAATTATGTAAATAATTTAACTATACCTAGGTATTAATGAAGATGTTTGATTTGAACAATTTTACAATATTTATGCACGCATACATTTACGCAGAAGAACCTAGCTATAGTTGATTCACGCTAAATTACGTTGTTCAATTTAGAAATGGGGGCAAAAGTGTATTAGTTTATGCAATAAACTAATAATTAATAAGAATGACACGCAATGATTTTGTAATATGTATCTTATTTTTGCTTTGGTTTAAAATGCACAGTATATATTATTTTTATACACTTCAATTGTATTGTTATTCGAAGTTTATTAATTTGTGCATAGCAAACACTATGCAGTATCAACAAGGCTTTATTTAGTATATATGCCATATAAATTAAAACATTATAGGTAGGTACATACAGAGAGATTCATTTTATGCTAGAATTCTAGATGATACTTAAATGTATACGTATTTATTGTATTTAACGATGGTGAATATTTCTTTAAAAAAGGCAGTAAATAAATATAAAATTAGCAATTTGTATTTTAAAATAAACATACATTTGTATCATAATTATTTAGTATATTTAAGTGAAGATACGTATTATATATGTTTATATTAGGTACTTTAACTTGGCTTGAATCAAGTTTTTAAACCTTATAGATGATACGTTTTTTACTTGTTTTAAAGTACCAAATAGATCCAATCTTCTGCCAGTAGAATCACCCTAAAAGTTGAATATCATCATAGTACATTTTTAGATACTATAAAATGTAAACACTAAAATATAAATATACACATAAAACTAACGAAGCTCAATACGCACAACGTAAACAATTAACAAAATAATAACCATAAAAAAAATAAAAATATAATTTTTGTTACAATTTTGTTTTCATTGATTACAATTTACGTAAAAAAATATTTTCACAAGCATATCAATGTATCTTCGAAAAATTGAGTGTTTGCCATTAAAAGAATCTCTTTGAAATATAGAATGCAATTTTTTTTACAATATTTACACATTACACAACTGCATACATTTTACAAATAAAGACTATCCAAGGTTGTAATATAAAATATGATTGTGTAATTATTTGTGAACTCTATTAAAGTTCATTGACCTGAATTTAAACTGTGCTATATAGTATACTTAATACCTTTTTCTTCTAATATAAAATAAATTTGTATTAATATATACCAGTGACTTAATTTCGGTAAAATTTAAATCCATAAAATTGATTTTCTAACGAGTACCTACAATTGATTAGGTATAACAGTTATAATTTATAGGTTATAATTAATAATCATTTAAAGTTTTGATGAGGGGAGTAGTATTGGACCAGAATGTTGCGAACTTGTATTATGAC